GTAGTATTCGACTTCGTACCTCGCGTCGAATGTTCGACTTGCTGTCGCCAGGCCTTTCGCGCTCGATGTCCTCGCACATTTGCTTCCACGAAGCGGCTCGCTTCCTCGAGGTTTCGAGGTTGATCTGCTTGCGCACGGAGTTGACCTTCTGGCAAATCGTGTACCAGTCGGGGATGCTGATCGTGTCGTAGCGGGTCGAGTTCTTGCGGACGAATGTCGGCTTCCGGACCCAACGACACTTCGCGGTGTCCCAGTAGTTGTCGAAGAAGACCTTGCAGTAGAATCCATGAGTTCGCTCGATCGCGATGTGCCACCCAGGCGGCTTGACTTCGTGGTTGTCGTCGCGATCGTAGAGCTGTCGACGGTCCTTGTGGTTGTAGGGAAGGTCTCGAAGGTTGCCTCGTACTCCTATCTTGGCCGGTGACAGGTCGGAGTTCTCAGCGTACCACACGAAGTCCTCGTTGGCTCCGGTTGCGCACTGGTAGCAACACCTGTAATGGATGTTGCGCCAGTCGTCCTGGCCGTCGGGGTTAACCGAGAGGAGATAGTAAGGCGGAAACAGCAAACCACAAAAGGTGCAATCGATGGATCCATCGTGGATTTTGTCGTTGGCCGGAGTGCTGAAGTACTTGAGGTACATCTCGACTCGGTCGACATCGCGTTTGTGGTGATCTTCGATCGATGTCCCATCGCGACCAATGAGCTCGATGGGCATGCCGTTCTCGTCGACCTCCTCGCCGGTAAGTTGTCGGCGCCAAATCGCCGCCAGCTCGGAGTCTGTCGAGTTCGGGAACTGCTTTCGTAGTGATGACATCGCGAGCTGTTCGGAGGCTCGTCGGAAAGCGATGACCTCCAAGGCTCCCTGGGTGTGATGGTCATCGTAGAGCCTTCGTTGTAATTTCAGTGCTCGGCCCTCGTCAGTGTCCGGGTGGACTCCCTCGAGGTATCGAGCGGCCGGCAAAACTGCTCCGGAGCTACTGCCGGGCGTTTGGGAAAACTGCTCGATGGGATCGAGCTGAGTCGCCGATGTCTCGGGGAACTGTTCAATCGGATCCGACTCCATCGGGGACTGGCGAGAGTGTGCCATCACTTCGGGTGGATCGGGAGGTTCGGGTAACACGAGTAGAGCTTGAGAGGTCGAAGTCTACGGAAGCCAAGCAATCTCCAAGGAGAGAGCAGGCCCCACTACAACTAGTAGAGCCTGATGCAACCGAGTGACATGTCCTACAAGCAAGCACATTTGGTCTTGTCGTCGTATGTAACGAGTCATTCGCGAGGTCGAGACCTAGGGGTCAGGTGGACGCATCGCCGAGGCGGAAGTCCCCTTCTACCGAAACGGTCACTGACCCGGAAACACCCGTACATCGCCGAGGCGGAAACGGGGAGACCGTGAGACCTGAAGGTCGGGTAGGCCTCGTGTAAAGGCTCACGCATTCTCGCGGAATCGCAGGATGAAAGCCGGCGGCTCTGCGGCTATCATCGATCGCATTCGCTCGTGTTGGGCGAAGGCACTTCGCATCGCCGGTGAGAGCATATTCGAAGTGCATGAAAGGATCGCCGAGGCCTGCTCCCTAAAGAAGGTCTGCATGGGCTCGAAGTATGGCATCTGCGCCGCGAAGGTGTTGAGATTCCTCGCCGTGTGGCACCAAATTCGGAGTCGGTTCATCCGAGCTTCCACCGAAGTATGGTCCAGGTCGCAGAGAGAGGCGGTGATGCTGTGCCATACCATCGAGTAGATCAAGGTAGTCCGGGGTTCCACGAAGTTATTCGGGACACCCAGGAGCAACACCCGTTCCTGCAGTACATCGTCTTGCGGGGTGTGGATCGGGAGGTCGATGTAAAGGCCGTATTGGGTGAGGTAGCTCCCGAAAGTAGGGCATCGGAGTACCTGTTCAATGTAAATGATGCCATCGTACGTGATCTCCCATGGGGTGTCGAAGGAGAAGGAGGAGTAGGGGTGATTGCCAGGTGGCAACATCGCGACATTGTGGCCACCCACCGGCGTCATCGCTTGCAAATTCGCCGACAGCATCGGGAAGTTGTCGAAGTGGCGCAGTGTTTGAAAGCCAAACACTGGCTCGTGTGATGTCGGTGCGTTGGATCGGACATCGTCGATCGAAGTGCGCCCCTTCTCCACCACCTGCGAGTCGCGCCACTGCACTCGGAATCTCTCGAGGCATGACTGTCGTGGTGGTTGTGGCTGAACCGCAACCGGCACACTCGTGTAAGGATTCCCCAAGGAGGTCGCGATAGTCGAGGAAGAGGCCGCCCCCGACTCGTTGGTAGCTGGCTGGAAGACTTGCCTCGGGTCATTTCGTGTCAAGTCCACAGCAGGGTGGACGGAGAATCTCGGAGGCACGACTCTTCCAAGTCCAGCGGAGCTGTCGGCGTCGGGGTGTGGTCGTTTGGGCATGGCCTTGGTCTTGGCGCTCACGAGAGTCGTAGTAGCGGCAGCCCCAAATGATGGGTTGATCCACTCGGATTCGCTCGCGGAATTGGCCACCGGCCCAGAACTCCTTGGTTCCATCGATGTCGCAGAGTTGGCTGTAGTAACCGCGATCGGAGGAGTCGGTGGTGGTGTCGCGGAATCATCGTCCTCGTGCCAAGGATCTGGCGACATCGGCCTCGTCTGAGGTGTCGTGGTAGTCGGTGGGGCCGCCGGAGTCGTAGCCGGTGTCGAAGCGGCGATCTCATCCGGGATTTCGACGATCACCGGGGTCTTAGAGTCGAGCCATCTCTTCGCCGGCGACGGGGATCTCTTCGGGAATCTCGCCGGAGAAAGTGGTCGTTGTGATCCCCTGGCTGCTCCATCGCCGTGGCGGAAAGCAGTTCGGGGTTCACGGCCGAAGCTGGGTGCATCGGAGTCCGTATCCGTGCTGACCTGGAAGAAAGTTCTCCTTGGTGTCGGCGGAGTCGGCGTAGTCGAAGGTGCCGCAGATGGGAAAGCCGCCGGAGGTGCTGTCGATGGCGCTGCTGTAGAGGGGGCTGACGAGGGAGCCGCTGAAGGAGGCCATCGGGGTCTCGAAGTCGGGAAAATCGCTCCCCGTGTCGGAGTGGGATGTTGTCCCCAGGTTGCCGGAGGTCTCGAGTCCTCGCGAACTCTGCGGGGAGAGCGTCCTCGACGATGCAGGCCATCCGCGATTTCTTGTCGTAGTTGTTGGGCAACCTCAGACTTATCCCAGGATTCGTAGTCATAGTACCGAAGGAAATTTGTGCCGAAGTTGAACTTGCGCATCTCGGCGGACCGGAAAGTGGTCATCGAGTCCATGATCCACTCACGAGCCTGTGCTCGGTTGACCTGCTCGATGATTCCGTTCTTCGACGAGTAATGGTAAGGCGGTTCACCTCGACGATTCTGTCGCTGTACGACGAAAGCCTGTCGCATAGCTTCGTCGAAAGTATGACCATGTTGATTCCAGCACGTATTGTGGTACTCGCAGCATCCCTGGAACCATTTGTGGCATATGAGGTTGGGCACTACCCACTGTTTGTTCAGGAAATCGGGGTGAAGAAAACCACAATTGGCCATATTACAGTTCTTCTTCTCGAGAAGGCGGGGACAAAGCTGTCGTCGTATCTCGGAGATGGGTACTTGGGCCGTGTCGCTGACTACTTCGGGGTACTCATTAAGCATCGACTCAGGAACAGGGGCCGTCATCTTCACCAACGTGCCCTCGCAGAGGAAATCGAACCATGAGTCGGCTCGGGTACGTGCCATGGCTACGAATTGGCTAATCCAAATCGATGGTAATCGAGGTAGTGGGCTTGAGATGCCCTTCGAAGTTCCGCTTTCGAGCTTTAGAGGCAGCGGGTTCGGGAGTATGTAATTCCATGCCAAAATCATCACGAAAAATGTCTGCCAAATGCTGATTATGCAGATCGGTCTCATGCACAAGAAGAGCAGCATCGGTGTCAGCTGGTAGGGGTGCATGATCGGATTCGGGGTGTAGGGAAGCCTCGACGATCTCGAACGGCACCGTCAGCGGCTCCGCGGACTCGTCGCGGTTGGTGATGTGCAGGTACAGGAAGGCCTCGAGGTTGGGCGGTTTCAGCAAAGTCGCCGCGAGATTGACAATGTCGTTCGCCGTCTGACACTGGGCGATGTGATCGAGTGCCTTCCGTATTTGTCGGGATTGTCGCTTGTTCCAAGCTCCCCACGTCACATCCTCGGGTTTCTCGACTTGAAAATCTTCGAGAACCTGCTCGCGGCTGAATTCCTCGAGCGATTCCTTCAGACTGTCAACAACTGACAGAGAAGCCGTAGTGCTCGAGGTACTGGCCGCCAGCAGCGGTCGTAGTAGTGCTCGGGGTACTGGCCGCCCGGGCGGCTATGACCGAGGAGTGATCCGAGGGGACTGAAACAAAATTTCGCTCAAGCTGTAACAGCTTTCGCCAAAATGGCCACGGAGTATACAATCATTCGACATGAATCGGTGAGTCAATCCCCTGACCGATTCGGTGTTTAAGTGAGATATGAAGTTGTCACTTCGCACAAACAAGTGTGTGCTACACTGTTACTGTTATTCTCATTCTTGCATCTTTTACGATGACTACTATTAGTATTGTTGATATTGCTCCATGAAAACAAGTACTGTCAATATTGTGCACAATACTGTTACTATTGTTATTGTCGTTATCATTCTTAATCATTGTTGTTATGATAACTATAAGCTGTTTTAGTTGCAGTCTTAGTATTCTCGTCATTACTCCACGTTTACCCAAACATGGTTCTGTAAATAATTATGCTCTCGACATAAAACAACTCGACAACCCTGAACCAAGCACCAACTTGACAGGAAGACTCCTTTCCTGAATGGATAGGTGCCACCAGAATGAAAACAACCGTGTTTTTTGACACAGCATGCTGCGCCAACTATACAGGAAGAACACCGCGAAAGCGTCACATGGGTGTTTGGCTTTGTTACGAAGCTGCACTCTCAATTCCTTAGGCCAGAACCACCAAGGGCAACCCTACAATACACCCAACCCCTTCCCAGCTCCTGCAGCCGCGTTGAGTTGGCAATGTTGAGGACCATGGCATCAAACCTTGCAAGCATTGGCGAGAGGCAAGAGCATGTGAGGCTGAGAGTGCACGCAACGCCCCGTGGGGGAGGTGAACACCTCATTGCGCTCTGTTTACTGGCTAGGCACCTAACTCCAAACCCGCAAACTTGAACCCTTTTCAGCATGGGCTTCGATTGTGCGCAAACTTGAACCCAAAACCCATACCCAGCATGCTTTGGTTGAAAGAGTGTAATGTCTGCATCCTCCAGCGCCTACGAAGCATAGAGATGGGATGCAGGCCCCGGAATTCAGAAAGTCTTCGCCGCTGATATAATGTAGGAACCATTAAGAAACCCTGGTCCTATAACACCAAAATAGTAGGATTCATATAAGGAACCCGAATAAAGACCCAAGGTTTCTGAATCAGGTTCCTGCATTACCAAGTGAAGACTCACTTTCCTGCCCGGAAGCTGGTCCAAGACCATCTCCATCCACTTCGAGCTGCCATACCTCAGCGAACGCTCATGAATGGGTTTAGGGGTTTAGCGTTGCATCTCCAGCATTTACTCTATTCTTCAAGACTTGGGCTCAAAGAAGTTCATCAAACTTTCTGAGATGAACCAAATATGCAATGACAAAGTCTCCCATGGGCTACTCAAGTGAAGGGTTTTGAGCTTTGAGACGGGTTGAGGTCGGTTCAGGATCTAGAATTTGCAGACGGCCCAAGATAAGCTTCGGGTTTGGGACCTTCGACTGCCTCTGAAGGCGGACGCTGTTGGTCATTGAGTTTAGGGTCGGTTACTTGGCTGGGACGAGTCCGCATATCGTGGTGGCGTGTGGTGGCACTGAAGACTATACGTACCGTGAAAAACGGATCAGACGCGCAGGTGAATCCTTTAACGCTGTGCGTGCTTGCACAGGGTTCAGGCTTTAGGGGTAAAACTGATGCGAAAACCAATGCGGACAGGTACCCCATCACGGCAGCATTAAACAGAAACATCTCGCGGAAGGAGTTGGGCACCTTTCGTCCGGGCATGGTTGTGGTTTGACGGGTGTAGCGTTTTGAGCTTTGGGCTCACCATGCTTGGTCAGGAGAACCTGAACACTCTGAGTCTCTTGCCTCTTGCCGCATTGCTGCACAGCATTGTCATGTACATAGACATGTCCTAGGATACACACATGGAGCGGCTCGTTTGTGTCTGTCGGGAGGGCCTTCATCTGCGAGTCGTGGGCCGTCTTTGCAACCTCGTTTGAAGCCTTGCCAGCTTCTTCCTTGGCATCGTCACTTAGGTGTAGCAGGTGCTGGCAATGTTCTTGTGGTCGTTGGCTTCCACGAACCGAGCGAATGCGAATCCATGCTAAGCATGGTTGGCTGCTGCTGGTGCAAACATCTCCATGCCAATGCCAGTGACACTACTTCCCAGTCAGCGACGAAGACCACCCCGACTACAGCCACCAATTCCCCTCACTGGTTACTAGTTGCGGCTAGTGACTGGTAGCGAGGACTAGGCTTCCACTACAGTAGAAGCCGAAAAGTTGGAAACCTAACAGCCTCAAGCCTTTAAAACTATAAGCAATCACAGCACTATTTGGCCTAAATCCGTTTTCCAACCTCATGGGGTCTACTGTACACTAGCACTAGCAGTCCCTCGGCTTACTGAGCGGCCCTTCAGGCCTCGCAGCCGGATCCAAGATCAAGATTCAGAGACAGAATCATAAGAAACTCTCGGGGGGGTAGGGGGGAGGGCCTCATTATCCGTATTATAAGGCCCCCTACCCCCCCCTCCCCCTATCCCGCTAAGCTTCAGGAAGGGCTGGAAGCATTCCGGGGCTAAAGGAAGCCGAAGACTCCTGCTTCTGCGCTTCTGCAACTTGGTTCTCCTCCGCTGCTTCTTCTTCATCCTGCCAAATTCAAGGGTATTGGGCTCTCTGGGTACTTGGAGACGGGTCTCGGGCTAGCAAGGAAACACCACCTTCAAGTCCTGAGACCTTCCATTGCTTCTCTTGCGTGCCCAACATCTCGCGATCGCCCGACAAAAGTCACGCTGTGGCCTCCCCTTTGGGCTGCTCGCTCGCCACTGCGGCTACAGCCGGGAGCTCGGCTTCATCCTCCGGCTGCGCTGCGGCCTCCGACACACAGCCTTTACTTTTGAAAGGCTGCATGGGTCTTGGGAGGCTAAGGGTTTTGAGATTTAAGGGGGTGCTGCCGATTTCAGTCCAGGGTGTCTACGTCTCTTTGCATCTCCGATCCTGGCGGAGTTTCTCTCTACAAGTTAATTTGGGGCTTAGGACTTCTTTTCTTCTTGTTTGCGGCTTCACGGTTGAAGTTTGTAACGATGCTCACACCAAGGGGGAAGCGCGCGAAGACGTCGTGCCATTCCCAGAAAATCCGATGAAGCCTTGTTGGCTTCCCGCCAGCTGCGGTGAATGATCCGGATGCGCGCCGCATACCTGCCACTGAAAACCGGGATCGAACGTTTCCTGGGGCTTACTACGTTTTCAATGGCGAAGCCTGAAATAGACTAGTGCGCTCAGTGCAACAGGTGCTCCCAAATTTCTGCCGAACCCCTTTTCCGAACCCATGTTATAGCTCACAACTCCAACTTGGAATGATAACCTTTGCGCGGGTTTTGACTTGGTACACTTCTCGATTTGTGCGGGGGTTTAGAGTTTGGGAAGTTTCCCAAGCTGCAAACTGCCAAATTGGCCCCCGGCCCCACAAGCAAAACCCCAAGCCTTGAACACTAGTTCTGGGGCTTGAATAACTGGAACTGATTTTGTCGTGATATAGTATGGTATGCTATAATACATGAACAGTATTAACAACACATGTGTGCATGTATGTGTGTATATGCTCTACGATATCGACTTTCTTGTTTTGTTTTGCCCTACACCAATCGGGACATGGTTCAACTTGTGATATTTTCTATCAAAACACCTGGGAGTCAATGCTCTAATATAGGGGCCTTACTGATTAGCATAAGCTTCTGCTGCCCATTATACTACACTGATAATAGGGACCCACCATAATAGCATAGGCAAGTATAGAATGATTGAGACCCCTATAGTAGAAAGACTGCATATTGGGGACGCCAGGGCGACGCTCTCTTTGAGAACATACGTACATACATACGTACGTGCATTTTCCTACATTTTCCCACATTCCTACATACATGCATACATACTTCTCAAAGACTGTAACTAGGAGATGCTGTGCAAAATCATCCAGACCTTGACAATACACCACAGCGTTCACGGCCGGGCCACTCCCTTTGGTAGAAAACGTAGGCGCCACCCCAGTAGTTCAAGAGTGCAAACCATCCGGCACGCGCCTGCATTGGTGTCAAGTCAGTTCTGTGCTCGGGTCGTCAGGGGCATCAAGAGCTCAGCGTTTCGGACTTACACTTTTAGGATCTAGGGTCTGGTGTTTTGCTGCTTAGGATTTACTGTAGGTCTTCGGATTTCGGGGTTAGGGCGGAGGGCTCAACGGGATTTTTGACAGTTACGGGTGTCTAGCATTCAGGACGCGGGCTTCAGGGCTCCCTGTTCGAAAGATCACATCTCGCCCGCAGTTGCCGAAAGGGAAAGCACCAACAGTGGTGTTCGAAGCCCCCAAAACCCCCAAAGCCCTGAAACCCTAAACCCCTGAAACCCTGAAACCCTAAACCCTGAAACTCTAAACCCCTAAGTCATGAAATCCCTAAGTGGTGTTGGCCGGAGTCTACAACTCAGGGCCTAGGGTCTGGCACATCTCGGGCTTAGGTCGGTGGCGCACGTCTCGGGTGAAGCCAAGACGGACTTCACAGAAAAAAGGGAGCTCTAAGTCAAGCCAAGCAAAGACCCGACTGAGCTGGACAAGTCTGCTAATGTAGGAACCTGATTAAGAAACCTTGTTATATGAATCCTAGTATTTTGGGGCTATAGGCCCAGGGTTTCTTTATCAGGTTCCTACATTACCCCAAAACTCTCTGAACTGTAAACTCCAAAGCTCCTAGCCTCAAACCCGAAACCTGAACTTCCGAGCTTGAACCACGTGGAATGCCAAGAGCTGCCATGGCTTTAGGGTTGAGGGTTTACGTGAATATATGTATGTATTTTTGTATATACATACATACATATATATATATATATACATACATGTGCACACACGTGTATCTAGATCTCATTCACATAAGCATAAACACGCACAGCACATGTGCATGTATATATACAGATACAGAGACATGTACACATACGTACACCTACGCACATTTGCATACTACATATATATATATATATGCAACATATAGGTGATACTCATGTTTACAAGAAAGCCCCCTGAGACGAGTAAAAGAAGCGGGCACCGCACCGGGCACCTTGGGAGTGAACTCCGAGGCCAGCTCGGCCTCCCACATGTCGAGCATGGCATCGCGGACGATCTCCACGGCCTCGCAACAGGGAGCCTAGGCTTAGGGTCTTAATGGGCTAGATAATGGGTATGTAATAGCTATATTAAGAGTATATACCTAGGGGGTCCTTATTAAGGGTCCTTTTGTCTTGTTGTCCCTCCTACCCAGGCTACGGGGAGTTTAGGGTTTAGGGGTTCAGTAGGGCGATTGAGGCGGTTGAAGCTCGTCATGAAAGGGATCCTCCAGCTGTGTCTAGCGCACGGCATAGCACGGGCCTACGCATGGGCGGGTCCGACCTTTGTGTGCAAGATTACGACTCCAAGTCACTACAAGCATTCACAACCTACAATTGAGGGCAAGTGCTGCATATGAATGTGTTTTCCAGATGCAGTCGACTTTACTCAGGATTCGCACTCTGGCGTGCGACTGTAAAGCGTGCGGTGCGCCCGTCTCCGCGCAGTCCTTCCGACCCTTCCGTGGGATCCCGCATTGCATTCGGAAAACATCGATTATCAAAGCTGAAGAAGGCCCGTTGCATCAACAGCTTTTGGGACCTTGGGGACTGGAGGCATAAAGGGTTTTGTTCAAAGCTTGTGTGTTTAGATGTGTTTAGGCTCTGCGCAAGGCTGTACGATAAGGAGCTTCTGCAGAGTCTTTCGGAGGTAGGGGCGTAACTTGAGGACAAGCAGGGGTGATGCTGATGGTGATTCTCGCGCCGCGTCCCTCTTCTCTTGAACGGGGTAGCAGATCATGCGCATTACCTTCAATGGCGTTCGAAGCATGTTTGCGCTGGTTCTGAAAAAAATGGATTCTGTAGGCGGGGTCGCTGGGGAGCGAAGGCTCCTAGCATTATCCCTAAGAGTTGCCGTCAAACCCCCGTTACTTGGGCTCCCTTGGGCCCTTGGTACCTGGGCCGTGACCGGGCGATCCAGGTGGCGGAAGGAGATGATGTCAACCTGCAGGCCGCAGCAGTTTTTTTTCCCAGGGTTGTTTGGCGCAACAGCAATTCCCAAAGGCCAAGAAAGTCGACGGGAAGTGGCGGTCCGGGAAATCTAATTGGAGAGCAAGACAGATGTATCTTCTTGTCGTGTAGCAGTGGCATCAGCAGCACTTGCTCACTAGAGCTGCTATGCCGTCAACTAGCGGCAAATGCGATGAGGACAACGAAACTGAGTATTACGATGACGAAAACAACCAATACAAGGAGGCCTCGGCAAAGACTGCACGACGACGACTAAGGGACCCCGACACCGTATTCTAATCATTGAGGCCCCAAGCTGCGCGAGCCAAGCCTTGTGGCCGTAAGCTTAGGGTAAACCGATCCCTGTCACTCACACTTCGGCCTCACATGAAATTGTGTTTGCCTCACGCATGGCTAGGAGGAACCATGCAGGGGAAAAACCTTGAGTGCACTGTAAACAAGCAAAGGACGCGTCCAAACTCAAACGATCCCTTGCTCGATTTTTTGGGACGTTGAGATATGATGGAGGCGACCCATTAGAGAGGTGGTGTGAAGGAATCGCTGGCTCTTGCATCTGAAATCCTCATATCATACGAAAGGCCCAAGACGATCCCAAGCACCCCGCTTAGAGATCGAGGCAGAAGCTACTTGCTCGGAATTCCCCGCGGCTCCCCGAACTTTCATCCGCTCTCAATGACCGCCTGCGTTTTCAGCTCAGTGGGGTGGCTCAAAGACGCGACGATCGGCTGGATGCCCTGCTGGATGCGCAGGTACAGCACCGTTCGTGGAGTCTTGAAGTACCTCGGACTGCCGGAACGAACGCGGAACCGGGCAGGCATTACTCTGAAGGTACGAGGCCACAATCACGATGGGCTAGGTGATGGTATTCAAAGTTTGCCATACTAATCACGATTGCCCTCGCCCCCAAAACCCCAAACCCTACACCCCGAAGCCCATCCTCCGGCCCAGTGGCGAGTGGAGGCTGGGTGCAGCTGCCCACCACGCATTGAAAATCAATTCTCCGGCGGCCTCTGGCGAGCCTGGCGGTGGGCTCGGAGAACGGTTTAGGGTTTAGGGTTTGGGGTTTAGGGTTTAGGGTTTGTGCGAACTGAAGTCCATGAAAGGGAGGCCCCCGCTGCGATTAGCACCTCCAGCCCAAACGTCCCAACTCAAAATCCTCTGAGCCAGAGGACGGGGCTTTGGCTCGACCCCACGCTGCAAATGCAGGGGTAGCCCGATGGAGCAGTTGCACTATGTCATGATAAATTATGGTATATTATAGTAATATAGTACAGTATAGTATAGTACAGAACAGTTTTTGTATAGCAAAGCATAATATTAGTATAGCATGGTCCGTGCTTTAGAGCAAACATAGTATAGTTTATCGTTGCTCTGTCGACGTGGTGTTTTGTCTTTCTGTACTCCCGGTCTGCGATTATTTCCCAGATCTTATCTCTGGGTGGGGCTCCCACCTCTTGTGTTCACAAATCCAATGGCACCCTCGCCCCGTGCAGGGTCACTTCTTCGAGCTTGCGACTGAACGCACTCTCTGGGGGATTGGATGCTTTGGGGCTGCATTGATTCGCGGACGTTCCGACCCACAAAGAACCAGACACATGCGTTCCTAGATCCAGCTGGTGTAGCTGCTTGCAATCACTTACAAAGCTGCACTCATCTGTCACTCCCCACACACACACAAACACACATGTGCCCGCGTTCAGCTTTGCCCTCCCTGTGCTCTGCAAGTCATTCACGTGTGGGCTCATCCGGTCCTAGCAGATCGTTACCATAGACTGCCTTAGCTGATCGATGCGTATCACTCATCCTACGATTGTCAGCATTCCCAGATCGGCAGGTCTTCGTTCCTGGCTCTCACATCCCGAACAAAACGGGAGGGCGCCTGCATTCGAGCAGAAAAGCTGCCACGTGCGCTTGATCTCCGCCACGATATCTGGAGGAAATCGGACCTCCAGTTCGCTGTACGGTTTTTGGGCTGGAGGGTTGATGACTTCGGGCTTAGGGCTTGCAAAACGGGCTGGTGGAGACAGAGGTTTGCAGGGCACCAGAGGGCTCTGCCTGAGCCCACGCTCTAGATACACCCCTAAGCCAGTGAGCGCCGCTTCCCTCCTGGCCCACTCCCGGAACTTTCCCTGCGAAGGGACAGCAGCTGCGGCTGCAACAGGGAAAGCTCCCAATAAACATCAAAAAAGGCTGGTTAATGTCGATGAAGAATGGCGTGATACGGGTAAGTAAATAGCAAGACCAAGACTGTGCATGTCTCCTCGCAGATACAACCCGACTCAAAAGACCAACAGGAACCTTGGACTCATCCTGGATCCTGTCCGCACCTTGTCCAAGCTCTGATCGTAGACCACGGCATATTTGTCCAGAACTTCGTCCTGACGAACAGGTGTCAGCCTCTGCCCCTTGCTGAGCATTCTTGCTTCGAGACTTGGAAGCAGAAGTATCACGAGCGCGGCTTTCAGAACCGCACTCGGACTAGTGCCGGCAAGTCCTTCGAGGGCTTAGAGATCCTTACGTACAGGGTCTGCGGGTCTTCCAATCTGGGACCTGTGAGCTCGCTGGACGAGGCTTTGGCAAAATCCGTTGCCTAGCTCTCTGGATGGCTTGATGTCGC